AGTAGAGCTTGTGCGTATAGGAATGTTATCTATTTCCCTTTCCCTCTGACCCATTTGAACAAGTTTAACTAGCACTTTACACAGTTAAATATGTATCAATCCTTTTATTAAGTATCTTTCTGGTAAAATATTAAAATACTGATGTGAATAACAGCTGGTATTGAATATTCAAAGTCGCAAGGGAACTCCTTAATTAATAGTTCTAAGATAACATCTGTACATTGAATCTGTGCCATGCAATAAAACAGCTCTTCCTCAAGCAGCTTTTTAATAAAGTAAATATTTTTTAAGGAGAAATTTGGAAGTTGCTTTTAAGAACATTAACTTAGAACAACATATTCCCCCTTCACAGTAAATTAGACATTATTGGAGCCGAAATTGCCCAAATCAGTATGGTTTCTATCTCCTCACACTTTAATCAAGATGCTTCTATTTATATTGACAAAAACCACTGCTTAAGTGACACTCTTGCATCCCCAGTAAATGCATCTGGGCATTCGGTACTTCAGAGAGAACTGGATTTGACAACACCCAGAAGCTCATGAGGCCATGTGCCTTCTCTCAGACCTCTGCATTTGGGAGCAAGAAAGCAGAATTACTTTGTGGACTCCTTTCAAAACATTTTACAAAATATAAAATTTTTATCTTGTAAAGCACAAAATAAGTGCAGTGTAAGTTTCCAAGTTTTTACTATATTTTAACCCCTACTTTTTTTAAAACAATAAAGCATTGCCAGTGAAAAATATCTTCCAGTCATGTGCGTTTTTGAAAGCGATTTAGGAGATAGAGATTAATTTGATGGGTTAGAGACTGCTGTTATCCCACCAAATGAAGCTGTTTCTACTCTATATTCAGATACAATTCAGGTCGAACTTTTTGCGGGATCTTAGTTTTCCGACCAGGGATCGAACCCGTGCCCCCTGCAATGGAAGCACGGAGTCCTAACCACCAGACCGCCAGGGAATTCCCAGGTTGAACTTTCTTAAATCCAAACTGCTTACACAAGCAAATTTTAGAAAGATCTCAGTCTCACAAAAGCATTCTTTTCCCTAATCCTGGATAAGTAGCTCCCTAAGAAAGCTGTCCAGAGCCTACAGGGCAAGAAGGACTCTCCTCCCATCCTCCTCACCCTGCCCAATTTAATCCAGATGTTTAAGTGAACAGTGAATTTTGGCTTTAAAAAATGAATTCTGAATGGGGCAGCATTAGAACTGATGAGAACAGTGTCCAGACTAACAAGTACAAACCAAATCTTTCAGATCATGAAAAACTAAAAATTTGTTAAAACATCGGTATGAAGGGACTTCCCTGGTGGCGCAGTGGTTAAGAATCCGCCTGCCAATGCTAGGGACACAGGTTCAATTCCTGGTCCGGGAAGATCTCACATGCCACGGAGCAGCTAAGCCCACGCGCCACAACTACTGAGCCTGCACTCTAGAGCCCGTGCTCCGCAACAAGAGAAGCCACCGCAATGAGAAGCCCACGCACTGCAATGAAGAGTAGCCCCTGCTCGCCGCAACTAGAGAAAGCCCGCGCACAGCAACAAAGACCCAACGCAGCCAAAATAAATAAATAAATATTTAAAAAAATTAGGGAACCTAGACAGACAAAGTTAAATATTTACCACATTTTGTTTGCGCATACATTCATTTCATATTCCCATTAATATATAATTGCTACATTATTAATATTCTCATGAACAAAAGAGTGAAATATTTACTATAATGAAATACGTCTATAAATTTAGTCATTTGCCATTCTTGTATCTTCTGAAGTACTATGCTTAGAAATATTGTATCCTCGGTAGTGGATTTGTATGTGCAGGGGGAACTTGGCTGGATATAATCATTATTTGACAAATGCCATATGACTTTATGTTTGGGGACTATCAAATCCCTCAAATTAGAAATGTTCATAGCTGTCCTTTGGATAAATCCAGCTGCTTGTTTTGGGTCCAGAACATTAAAAAAAGGAAAAATGCAGCTGCCAACAGAACACCACCAAACCACTATAATAGTCTGCTAGAAGAGGGTTTATCAGGCCTTTATATTACCACACAATGGGACAACAATCTGAGTTGGAATGCTGAATTGTTGCAACTCCAAGACATCTGGATTTTTTTTAACCTCACATTGGATATAATCTAGGAATATTTTTATATCTGGCTCATGTATAATTTGCAAATTTTGATGACTGAAATTGGAAATGTATTAGTAACTTCCTACTGGCTTTATAAGTTGCTATTGGGCTGTCACCATTACCCAGATTTTTTTAAACGTAAATTTACTCACTAGACTGGAAGCTCCTTAAGAGCAAGGGCCACTTGTCTATTATTAATCTTTGTGCCACATGCCTAGAACCTAGTGGATATTCAATAAATGTCCATTGAGTTGAACTGACCTCAGCTGAGAAAAAGTGTGTCAGATACACAAAAATAACTAGATTGTAGGTTGGCTTGACACCAAATGTGTCAAGCTTGACACCCTAACTAAAAATGAACTGAAGACACATTGCCTGGGAGAAAAACAGGCTCTCCCTGTATTCCTACTCTCAGGAATATGGGAAAACTAAGTTGCCTTTAAGCATAGTGCATAAAGAGGCTGATAGTTCAACCTCTTTGAATTGGCTTCCTTGCATGACCTAATGTTTAGAAACAGACTGGGCTCCAACCGATGGAGTGACACCCCGGATTAACTCTATAACCTGAGGCCTCAGACCCAGGGGGAGCAGGAAATATACATATTTAGTCCATATTACCAAGGCAACAAAGTCAATGTACCTGAACATAGTAGGAAAACAAGCACAGATGATGCTGAATATTTTAAAAGTGTTCCCCACACCCACCATAACAGTGGTTAGAAACATGGATAAATTATTTCTGAAACCACACAATTAAAACTTCTCTAATATATGTGTGTGCTTTGTTTTTCATTGCTAACACTCCATAGGCAATCTTGGTCAATTAACATTATCTTAGTACCAAAAATAAAGGTTCAAAGTTTGGTTTTGACATAAATGACTTATTTTCTTTTTAAGCATATAAGGAGCTATAGACCTCGAATAGGCTGCCTCTCCCCCATATGGGGAAACATCTGAATTTGAAACTAGTAAATCAGCATAAAATGAGACTATCTGTTGAAGAAACCTACCCTGAAAGATCATTTATAATTGTGCTACTGATGAGATTATTTACACTTTTATCCACCAGGAATAAATAATAAAATATAAAAATATAGTAAGCTGTAGAATATAACTGTCATAACAAAGAAAAATATTCTACATAGAACTTAAAAAGGATATAGGAAGAAAAGTATCAGGGCACCTCTACAGGCTAGGAAAGAAAGATTTTGGCAGACATAAGCATTCTAATTAATGATGAAGCAGGAAAAATTCTCCAAGCCTTACCCTGGCCCAGATGAAATACTCCCCCAGATTATCAACCTTCCTTTACTCTTATCCATCTTCACCAAGAAACTTCCTGTTTACTAACTGTTTACCCTAAGCAGACTTACCACTATAAATTAATATATTTACATTCTAACATGGGAATCTCCAAGTCTTATAGGTTTTGTTACTGGAAAATAGTTTCTCAATCTCAGTCAGACCCTGGATCTACACCCTTCACCCATGTTGTATCTTGGGAGGCCCAGCTGCAACAGCCAGCCAAATGGTGTCTCTCTTTTTACTATCCACCCTCACCTTTCTCACCAACTTCTAACCGTAACACAGGTCACCACAATCTTGTAAATGTCTGTATCCATCTGAAAAATAAAATCACATGTCATATATTTGTAAACAACCAAATGAAGATGGCTGAAACACAGTACTGGGTTGGCCAAAAAGTTCGTTCGGGTTTTTCTGAACAACAAGCTTTTTTCCAAACAAACTTTTTGGCCAACCCAATATAACAGCAATATTATTAGGAAGAAAGACCTGTTATCACTGTATAAATTCATAACTGCTGTTTAATTCTCAAAACAGCTTACTGTTCTCACTGAAGTAGGTCCAACGTCTTCATATGCCACTTATGACAGGAGATACGCATTCTTTGGGGAATACAGTGGGGACTCAAATCTGGAAGTTCTGGGCATCTGTGTAGTATGATTCAAGAGAGGGCATTAAATAAATTGAACTGGAAATCTGATCAAGCCGATCTGTTTACAGGCTATACAGGGAGTACAAAAACAAGTTAAATTACTTTACAGTGATACAATCAACAAAATCCAGAATATGGGAAGAAACGCTATATGACAAAACAACTAGATTTCTCACATAATTAATTTAAAGGGAAAACGGAGGGGGAACTTAGAGATTAAAACAGACAAATAACAACCAAATGCAATATATGGACCTTGTCGGATACCAATTTCAAGGAAACCAATGGTTAAAAAAATAAAAAGAGAAACAATTGGGTCCATCTGTCATATAATTGAACACAGTTCAGATATTTGACCTTATTAAGAAATAGCTGAGACTTCCCTGGTGGTCCAGTGGTTAAGAATCTGCCTTCCAATGCAGAACATGGGTTCGATCCCTGGTCGGGAACTAAGACACCACATGCCGCAGAGCAACTAAGCCCGCATGCCGCAACTACTGAGCACGCAAGCCACAACTAGAGAGAAGCCCACATGCCACAACGAAGATCCCGTGTGCCACAACTAAGACCTGACGCAGCCAAACATAAAAAATGAATATATTTTTTTAAAAAAGAAACAGCTAAAATTTTTAGGTGTGATAATGATATTATGGGTTTTTTTAAAAAATACATATTTCAAAGACATATTAAAGAAACTGGATGAAATGATATATCTGAGATTTGCTTCAAAATAATCAGAGAGTGGGGTGGGAAGGAGTGAGATAGAGATGAAATAATATTGGCCACGAATTGAAGCTGGGTGATGGATACAGAAAAGGTCCATTATACTATTCTACCCATACTTTTCTATATGCTCAAAATTTTCCATAATGAAAAGTTTAAAAACAGCAATAGCAAACAAACAAAAAACACACACAAAAGAGAAGGGGCACTTCTAGATGCCCTGGGGTAATGGGATAAAAATCCCAGTCTAGCTTCCAGCCCCATTAAGTAGTCAGATTCTCTGGGGGGGTCAGCCATATACTAGCAAGTTCATTTACCAAGTCTTGCCCTTCATCTTACATCATTAGCCTGAGAAAGGACATTAAGTTGTCTGAGTTTGGTTACTTACCAGACACCTTTTAATGTCCAAGTTTGTAACCCAAATTTAACTTGAGTTTAAGAAAAATTAAAATAATTTTTGAAGCTAACAGAATTTTAGCATCTGTTGAATTTATTCAGCATAACCACAGAGGTATTGTCTTCATGTTGTCACACATAGACACAAACACAGATACAACACAATATCCATTTTTAGCCCAAGTGCATTCCTTCTGAGGCTCATTTATATGTCTTCATATGCCACAGCCCATCATTTAAATAATGGATATTTTCAATGCCAATTCCTTTGTTGACTTTCTCACTGCAGAAGGAATAAAGCACATAAACATATTGTTAAGTATTTTTATAGGCTTACTCATGGTAAATATAATTCAGGGTGCATTGCTATTTTGAAATTATTGAGCCACATGTAGGGAATTTATTTATATTACACTAACATTATCATCTATATTAAACTACATTACTCTGCTGCAGTTCATGTCTTAAAATGATTCTAGTGATCTAACTAATGGGTCCACAGAAACAGAGTAATGATGTCACCAAACCAGGAGAACATCAAAGTGTTATAATTAACCCTGAAACAAAATTAATAGGAATATTTTGGTCATGAGTTCCAACGTTTTTAAGTATATCGACTATATTTTGGTAATATATCTTTAATATTTCATTAATATTTTATATCACGTTAAAATATAAGATAAATACTGTGTGGTACTAAATTATGTCACTGTTTTTAAAAACTAGCAGCAAAATATCTTTCCTCACACCTAATCTAAATCATACTAAATAAAAAATATTCCTAAAATACCACATACATACATATAATACAGCTGTGTTGGCACACAGGTTCTTTTCAGAATGCTAAAGGAAGAATGCAATCCCAGAGACAAAATAAGTTTCAATGGCTTCCTAAGTGTTAGGAAAAATCAGAAATGAGGCTTCTGTGCTTAAATATTTATAAGATGTGGTATGAATGAGAGCAAATTTCACCTGTAATTCTGATTCTTCCTGCATAGGTTACCTATAACTTAAAAGCTAAGGAGGCCTAACAGGAGACTTACATATCTTCTGCAGACATCTTCATGACTCCAACACACAGAGCATGCTGTTTACCTTCTGCCATGATTGCCTGAAAACACACAGCTAAGAAAACTATTTGTCTATCAAAATGCCTTGGAGAGGGGGTGTCACATTACTACTTAAGCCACTGTGAACCCAACTTGCATCTTCGCCTAGTCCATTAACTCCTTGAGGGCAGGGACCTAGCAAAATTTATGGGTAGACTGCAAATACTCAATACATGCTAAATGAATGAATCTAATAATCATTCTCTGTTTTTAAGTCAAATGTTAATAATACCAGAACCCAATGCCAACAAAAGAAGGAGAAAAAGAAGTCATGCAAAAAAGGAGACAAGGGCTTCCCTGGTGGCGCAGTGCTTGAGAGTCCGCCTGCCGATGCAGGAGACGCGGGTTCGTGCCCCGTTTCGGGAAGATCCCACATGCCGCGGAGCGGCTGGGCCCGTGAGCCATGGCCACTGAGCCTGCGCGTCCGGAGCCTGTGCTCCGCAAATGGGAGAGGCCACAACAGTGAGAGGCCCGCATAACGCAAGGAAAAAAAAAAAAAAAAAAAAAAAAAAAAGGAGACAAAATTTCTTGCATATAAATATTAAAAATGGAAATAAATATCAATTGTTCTAGTGCTTTAATCACTAAATGGTGGTTTTATATAAAGGACACATTAAAACAATAATTATATCCCCAATCAATCTTTAAGAGTCCAATGTAAGTTGCAATCTATCCAGAACAACCAGAATGTTCTTGGTTATCATTTGAAGTGTCTAGAATGTTAAACACCGCAGTACATATTTTAAAAAGTAAAGGTTCAAGGGTACACAGCCCCTCTCTGTACTAGTTTTGCAACTTTCCCAAAGTCTATAATTATTTCAAAATAAAAATTATTTTAAAAGTAAAGGCCAAGTACTAGGAAAATTTTCCATTTAGGGGAAACCCCAGAACTATAAACTTTAAAAAGAGAAAAATCATAAACATAAAAGGGTAACCTGTCCTCACAGAATACTTTTCTCCCTTGGTTTTCAAGTCATTCATTCATTCAATGTTCCACAAATATTTGATCACCTATTACGTGACCAGTATCTATATCGACACACGCTGTTCCTAAGATATAAATATATTGATACAACTTATACTACCCCTTAGATATAACTGCCACAAGAGAGAACACCCTCCTTTTGAGCACAGGACACACTCTTAAACCCACTCTAATGGCCTTTCCACTCCAGTGATTTCCCCATTCCCACCAAGTATGGTTCCTTTTCTCAACCTGAGGCAAATGGCCACTTTATCTCTGACAAAGGAGAAGATGTCCTCCTGTCCAGACTAGGTGACAAAAAACTAATCTGGAATATAGCTGAAACAGCACTGTAGAAATGGAAATAATGCAGAATTATTCAGCTCCATCACGAGTTGAATAGATTCTTAAGGACTATCTGGGACTTTATCGTTTCTCTTTGGGAAAACATGTTCTGAGGCCCAAACAACCAACTTAAAAATGAACTTTAGGGGGCTTCCCTTGTGGCACAGTGGTTGAGAGTCTGCCTGCCGATGCAGGGGACACGGGTTCGTGCCCCGGTCCAGGAAGATCCCACATGCTGCAGAGCGGCTGGGCCGGTGAGCCATGGCCGCTGAGCCTGTGCATCCGGAGCCTGTGCTCCTCAATGGGAGAGGCCACAACAGTGAGAGGCCCGCGTCCCACAAAAAAAAAAAAAAAAAAAAATGAACTTTAGAATAAAAGTTCATTGGAACTTTAAAATAAAACCACTGGAATTGCCAATGGTTCCCACTACTCACTTCTAACATTCCACCTGGTGCTTAAGTTCTTTTCCCTTTTGAATGTTTTTACTCCAGGGTATCTGGGGTAATTCAAACATAAAAGTAGCAAGATGATGTCCAAATAAGTGATCCAATCATATCATATACAACCTCTCCATTAATAATTAAGAGTTTTATACTGTGTCCTGAGTCTGATAACACTGGTCTCTAACTGAGCTGAAATGCAGCTGGGACTCTTTTGTTACTTGTTCTCATTTAATCTCTAAGATGGGACAGAATTTAGTCTCAAGAAATAATGTTGCTTCCCACATCTTCAAAAGTAGCCAGAAAGGCATGAGATAACAGTAAAAGTAAAAGTACATCTAATGTTCTCTGGGATGACAGATCTTTCAGCAATAACAAGAATACAATGAACGCATTTTTCAACAGTTACAGCCTGGGAAGGATACAACAATCGTATCTACTGCAGCAGGGTAAAGTTTAGCTCCAGGAGAAGTTAAGCCTGGACACATGATATTTGCTCCACTGAGTACAAATTTGATGGCTCCTTTATCAACCTGCTGGTGTGGCAGGATAAAAGGATCTAGAAGAAAAGAAATGCATTACATAAATTAGTAAGACTAATGACTCAACAGAAAAAGGCAAAGGACATGAACAAATATTTCCACAAATTACAGTATTCTGTGACACATGCAAAATAAAACTGAAACACCCTCCTTCACTTATCAAATTGGTATATATTTTTAAAAGTATTTCCCAGTGCTAGCAAGAGTGTAGGAAAACTGGCATTCCCATATACTGCTAGAAGACTTATAAATGGGTACAAGCTTTCTTTAGGACTACTTGGCAACATGTATCAACAGCCTCGAAAAGGTTCAAACTCTGACTCAGTAATTCTACTTCTAGGACTTTATCCTAAGAAAAAAAATGAGACATGTACAATATATTTAGATAGAAAGATATTCATTATAGCACTAATATTTATATTAGAAATAAACTGGAATCAACCTAAATGTCCAGCAATAAAGAGAGAAATGACTTAAAGTATGTCTATAATACCTATATAATAGGACCATGTTTTTGGAGAGTACCCTGGGAAATATTCAAAATATATGATAAGTGAAAAAAGCAGAATAAAAACTGCCAGAAATGGGGCTTCCCTGGTGGCACAGTGGTTGAAGAGTCCGCCTGCCGATGCAGGGTACACGGGTTCGTGCCCCAGTCCGGGAGGATCCCACGTGCTGTGGAGCGGCTGGGCCCGTGAGCCATGGCCGCTGAGCCTGCGCATCTGGAACCTGTTGCTCCGCAACAGGAGAGGCCACAGCAGTGAGAGGCCCGCGTACCGCAAAAAAAAAAAAAAAAAAAAAAAAAAAAAAAACTGCCAGAAAGACCAGTGGTTGCTAGGGGTTGGAAGAGAGGGGGAGGTGGGAAGGATGAATAGGTAGAGCACAGGGAATTTTTAGGGCAGTGAAACTATTCTGTAAGATACTGTAACAGTGCATACATGACATATGCAATCGACAAAAACCACACAATGTACAACACAAAGAATGAACCCTAATGTAAACTATGGACTTTCGTTAATTATAATAATGTATCAATATTGGTTCATCGATTGAAGCACAGCAATGCAGGATATTAACAAGAAAAGAAGGATGGGGAGGAAGTATATGGGAACTCTCTGTACTTTGTTCATTTTTTCTGTAAATCTAAAACTGCTCTAAAAAAGAAAGTCTATTAATTAAAAAACAAAAACTATATAACAGAGAGCCCAATTTAAAAAGGAAAAAAATATGCATTTACACATAACACACAGACACACACACAATACAGGAAATAATGGGATGGAAGTACACTGATATACTAACTATGGTTACCTCTAGGTCATGGGAATACAAGTGATTTTACTTCCGTATTTTACAAATCTCTAGAATGAACACATACTCCTTTTGTAATCTTAAAAAATTTATTTGTGTGTGTGTATGTGTGTCTATTAATAATTCATAACCTAAAAACTAAAGGATCCCTGAAGGATTTAAAACAATATCTACGGGAATAACTTTTTAGGCCTCTCAGGGCTCTCTAGGAATAATAACAATAATTGGTAAAATGTATTCATTTTAATGTCTTACCACTAGCTCTCCCACTAGTCAGAGAACAAATAAGTCTTTTTCCTACCAAGACTAGAAATTAATTTAAACACAGCTCCAAATTAAACATCTTACTGAAAAAAAAGGAAGCTGAATGAATGAATGTGTTTACTACTCAGAAGCCATAATCTGTTTTCTAGATCTCCATCCTCATTAATATCTGTCCTTTAATAATAATGATAATGATGATCCTGATCATGGGGATGATGACAAGTAGTAGTAGTAGATGGACATTTACTGAACAATTACTACATCATAATAATGGCTATTATATATTGAGCACTTACTATGTTCCAGGCATTGTGTTAGGTGCATTACACGTGTGTTACTATCTTATTTAATCCTCACAACCCTGGGAGATGTAACATAAAATTGCTTCCACTTTTAAAGATAAGGAAACAAAGCTTAAGTGACTTGACAAAAGTGACATGCACTGGGAATTGAGCCCAGACCTGCCTAACTCCAAGTTCACACTTTTAACCACCATATCATCCTGCTTCTTGCACAAGAGTAACTTTAAGATGTTCTAAAAGGTTGGTTCCCAGCAAAATATTATTAAACAGGAACATCTTTTTCTTCCAACTTATTGTGAAAATGCTTAACATATAGAAAAACTGGAAGAATAGTTCAATGAGCACCTGGACACCATCCACTTAGTTTCAACAATCGTTCATTAGCACTTTGCTATATTTGCTTTATCTCTTTCTATTTATACACACATATTTTTTTCCTCTACCATTTGACACTTCAGACACAATGCTTCACCATAAATAAGCACACATGCCAGACACATACTGGCTTGAAAAGCAGAAATTTTACTTTGCAGTTGAAAAACTCTTGTACACTGGGATAGCATCTTCCTTTGGGTTTTCTTTTGTAATGTAATCAATCTAACAACATGCAAATGTGGGTACATAATAAACATTATTTTGTTTCTTAACACCTGACCTTGGCACTCAACTAACAATAACTGGGACTCCATGCTTTCCCTTATACAGAATTACCTCTATGAGGCAAATCTGGATACAAATGTAAAAGAAAATGCTCACAGCACTTATTACAGTTTGTGAATATATATTTGTGTAATTATCTAATTGTTGTCTATTCTCCCAACTAGACTGTTAGCTTCCTAGGGACAGGGACCATATCTATCATCTTTGTTTCCTATCACATTTTCAGTACCTAGCTCAGTGCCTGGCACAGAGTAAGTTTAAAAAATAGTTTTTGAATTAAGTAATGAATGAATGAATGCTCTTTCTTGGGCTTTCTGGAATGCATAATGAGAGAATTTGCATTTTTCAGATTTAACACAAGATGGGGAGGGGGGAAATCTTTTTAGTTTTATATTCCATATAGCCTACTACTAATAAGTTAACTACCAGAAGTCACTTTCAACTCCTTTTGTGTCTTTCCATATGTCCAAATACATATTTTCTAACAAGACTTACATTTGTGAAGTAATCTTAGGGTTGGATAAAAAGGCCCTTCTCTTTGTCTAAAAAATAGTAACTCTCCATTTACTGTAAGGATCTCTATATGTTCATGGCTGTAAGACAAATGTCACAAAGTACCAAGTTAGATATTTTCTTTCAAAAATGAATATGCCAAACATCCTTTAAATAATGTATAATATGAAGCATGCATATACAGAGATACAGTAAGCTTTTTAAAAAAAATTTCAATAAAGATCCAGGGCAAAAAAAACATTTTTTTAACTCATACTAGTCCAGTAGAGAAAAAGGAAAAACATGACCTGCTACAATTTTATTTCACATTTTATTATTTTAATTTCCTTTTCAGATAATTAATAAAACAAATCTCTGAGGCACAAACTGAAATAAATCCAACTCTGAATAAAAACATTTAATTAACTCTTTAATAAAACAATCAGTACACAAAGCCACATTTTCACAAACATAGAAAAACACTTGAAAATACAAATATTGATAAGTTTTAGAGTTACTCATTTAGAGTAGATAGTTAATGTGAAGATAATTACATTTATTATGAGTGTAATCTAATCATTCAATATTCAGCTTCTCTGAACTTTACATAGAAAAAAATAAAGACTTACCATCGCACTATTTTGACAGGATCTTTCTTAGGCATGATTTGATTAAGCCATGGTTCAATACCTGGAAATTGTTCTAACAACTGGTTTTTAATACCCTTTATAACTGAGGTTTTCAACTGGATGCAGTTGGACACGTTTTCTTTTTCATCAAATCTGCCAAATGATTTTTGCAAGGAAAAAAAAAGGCATTTCCAAGAAGACATATCAGAATAGCTAAAGGTATTGTTTTAATTAGTCATCTATTTCCAAGCAAATATTTAGACGTCTAAAATAATTATGAAATGAATTGTTTTTTAAAATACCATTTCCCTTTTATTGTGTCCAGCACAAAACCAAAGTCTTAATACAATATTAAAATAAACTGTCATAAAGTCACAATTAGCTGGGCGGGGGGGGGGGGGGGGGGGGGCTGTGGGAATGAGTTTAGATTTTCTTTTCCACATGTAGTGACAGTCATTGAAGGATTTTAATCAAGAGACAAACTTTACAATTTGAATGTTAAGAAAATTACAGTGGCTGCCTCATGGGGGGGGGGGGGGGGGGGCGAGGGGAGAAGGATATGAGGCATATTTCACATTATAATCTGTAATTAGCTACACAAATGCTTCTCCTGGAAAACCTTACTCAACTCTACCCAGGAAGAAACAGATTCCCACCTATAACAGAACCTGTGTAAAAAAACAAAACAAAATGAAAATACCCTCAAGCGTTGATATACAAAAGACCAACCCAAATATAACAGTGAAAATCTGCCCCTCCTAGGCTATGTAATCTGCTGAGATTCTTTCTTAAGTGATGATGACGACGGTCTTTAACATCCCTATTTATTTTTGCTCAAAATGTCATGCACAAAACCCACCTCCCTTTGCCCATGATCCCCCTTTGCTTTTTGCGTCTACCAAATCCGGAAGGCAAACCCACTAGGTAGGTTCCAAAGAATTTTTGTCTTCCTCACACTGAATAGCCTATGGGGCAGTCACGCTATTTTCAAGACAAGGTTCATCTGGCAGCTAGGCAATAGGTATCACAGTCCGCTAGCTTCCTGTCACCCAGACTCCTTCACTCCCATGACCCAGGAAGTCAAGCCTTCCCTTATTCAGTTCATAACTAGTAACCATAAGGCAGTGAGGGAAGGGCTCTCCTCTCTGCTAAAGAGAATATGTCCCCAAATCACAGTGCAAGGATGTGATTGGTAGAACCCTAGGAACGGAGATAGGACTAGGAAAGGGGGCAAAAGAGAGGTAAGGAGAAAGAAAATGAGGGTGGAAGGACCCAAACCCAACTGAGGATTAGGAACGAAAAGCTTAAAGAAGTGTTGCTAGTTGCCAGTTGAGAGAATAGTACTATAGAAAACCTTAGGGAGTAAGGATGGCAGGGGCGGGGGAGAGAGAAAGAGAATCTTTGCTCTCGCCCTCTTCCCCACCCCCACCCCCACCCCCTTTGTGAGCAGCCGACGGAGGCCACAGCATGTCCTTACTTCTTGAACATGATCCAAGGTGAAGGGGGCGACGATAGGGAAGGGCCCGGAATGGGGAAAAAATTGAATTAGCACGGGTCCGACAGATCCCCTTACACGAGGAAGGCCGGAACTGACAGTCGGAGCTGTTGTCGTTATCCGGAAAGGGAGACAGCCAGCCGCACTTTACGGTTCTCAGAGAAATTTGACTACTTCCGCTCCTTAAAACCGTCGGCTCTTTTGCCGGCCCTTTTTGGTTTACCGATCCCTATCCAGAGCGGGTAGCTGAAAAGGCGGGACTTGTGAAGGAAGAAGAGATAGAGCAATCATTGTAAGAGCAGGAAGAGAAGATGGAGGGGGCGGGGCAATCAATCAAGGCAGTATTTAAGGCCGTTGCGTCACTATGGGTTCCTGAAAGGGTCAAAATTCTTCCGTGTTTCATTGCTACCTACAGTTATTTTTTAGTGGGAATGGTTTTTGTTCCCTGAGACAACCGAATGGATTGGTGCTTACCGACCAGCTCGAAGCCAAGCAAGCCTCTTGACATCATGTTTATGTACTCGTGGGCTTGCCAAATTTAGCAAATAAAAATATAGGACGCCCTGTACAGGACATTTGGATTTCAGAAAAACAATGAATACTTTTTTTAGTATAACTATACCTCATCCAATATTTGGGACATACTTATACTAAAAAAACAAAAAGTACGTGCTCTCTGAATTGAATTGGGCGTCCTGTATTTTAATCTGGCGACCATATTCACTGGCCACAGTGAGGTGCCCCCAAAGAATTATTCACTAGGTTGCTGTCCCCTACCTCACCCTCATGGCTATAAGTTGAGCTATTATAAATATAAAGAGGTACCTTCCCTGAATGATAGAATGGCCTGTAGCTGATCGGTACTAGACTAATCCGACTGAAGAGATAACAGCTAAAGAAACACGTTTTACTTACGTGATTTTAAAAAAGAGCAAATCAAGGGTTTTGATCAGCAAAGAAAGCATAGAAAAATGCAAAACCTAAACAGGCACTACCCAGGCGGTGGGATGGGTGTGCACTGATCTGTAAAACAAATACACCAGTCTCTCCAGGGAGCAAATACTCTATATTGGAGAGATGGGCCTTGGCAATGACAGCAAATGTTATTATGTGTTTGAATTGTACTGCTAACTCACCTTGCCTTGATTCTATGGTAGCAACAATCTTCTGATTATAATTTAGCTTCCCACGAAGATCTGCCCGGAAAGGACTTGCTATTTTCAAATCATATCTGCGTGAACAATTGTCTTTATAAATTAATAAATTGGCATTATGGTTTATACATCAATCTCTTGAGAATGTCCTTAGCGTGAATCCACATTCCCAGCATCAGTCAACTCTGTGACATTTAAATATCGTTTATGAACATACAAAACTGAAGCCCAGACCCCAAGCTGTGGTTAGTGCTACACTGTTAGGCTTCTTACAAAACAGGAGAACTTTCCTCTACTGGCAACTCACATCGCCCTGGAAGCCTGCCATGTAACAGTAAATATATTATAACAACTATAAACAGTTATAATTAAGCGGTTGGAGGTAGGAGAAAATAAATATTTTGTATTCGATCTAAACATAACACCTTAGTAATAACAATGTATTCCACTAGTAAATAAAATTTAACTCGATGAACTCCAAAATTAATAGTACCTAGATGGACTTCCTAATTTCTTGAACCGACTAATTTTAGACTTATTAAAAAGTATTATGCTGAGTATTTGCAGTGCTAGAAATAAGAGCTAACTTTTAATTCTATAAAAATTATACATAAGGACTTCCCTGTTGGTCCAGTGGTTGAGACTCCACGCTTCCAATGCAGGGGGTGCCAGCTTGATCCCCGGTGGGGGAACTAAGACCCCACATGCTGTGTGAGGTGGCCAAAAATAACAATAATAAGGTTTTAAAGAATAAAAATAGGGCTTCCCTGGTGGTGCAGTGGTTGAAAGTCAGCCTGCCGATGCAGGGCACACAGGTTCGTGCCCCCGTCCGGGAAGATCCCACATGCCGCGGAGCGGCTGGGCCCGTGAGCCATGGCCGCTGAGCCTGCGCGTCTGGAACCTGTGCTCCGCAGCGGGAGAGGCCACAACAGTGAGAGGCCCGCGTACCGCAAAAAAATAAATAAATAAAAATAAATAAAATTTATACATACTCTAAATTATGACAAATCCCACATGCATGGAATAGATATATAGCTACATGTGCATACATATTTTAATCCACTTTCATATACTCTGATAATCACAGAAACTGAATCTGAATTATGACAAATGCCAAGTTAGGTCATTAGTATTAACGAGGGAGATATTTAGTTCTGTATGTGTACATGAATACCTTTATTCATAACCCATCTACACAGATACATAAGCAGGGCCCACTTTTCACTGTAATGTGTTTCTGGTTTTGTGTTGTAAACAGGATTATTTTTCCAAGGTTATAATTAGGGGTTTACTCCTGACAGAACTCATCTTCAAATAAATCACTGCTACAACAAACAGTATGTCATAAAAGAAGAAATACCTCAAAATAAACCTCTTCCAAAATTGAAATAATGAAATTCATTTATTCATGCAATAGTTATAAAGGACCTTTATGTTTTAGACATATATGCAGTCTATACTAGAATTCATGCACAGATGTTCTGTGCAATTTATTTTACAAGGGACATCAATGTACATGCAGCACAGGACACAAAAAACCCAAGTCTAGCATACAGTTTACTAAAATAAGTAACCTAGCTATAATAAGCATTAAACATTTAATGATTGTATTTGCTGTCTTAGAATTTTGAAACAATTTTATAGGATCATCTTGACATAAGACTCTAAAATGCTGCCCAAGAAGTTTACAGTAAGGCCTCCTTTTCTTCTTCATAAGCTTCCTTGAGCAATAAGCATGGCACCAAAACCCTTCAGAGTGTCCAGTAAAAAATGGTTTCTTTAGGAGGTGGGCCATAGCTTTGAACACTGAAGGAGGTGCTTTCACTGCAAAAAGAATTGGGCCACTGCCAGACCCCTACTGGGTCTCTCATCTCTCAGAATCTACAGCCTGTGAAGTCTTCCATTAAGGTCACTTTTCCCACAAACCGCCCCGCAGCCTTATACTTCAGAGCCACCTGCAGCCTGGCTTTATATCCCCCACAAGGTCAAGACATACCTAAGAATCACACCACTACCCCCACCACCAATCACTGTGCAGAGCACAGGTGAGAAAATGCATTGGCCACGGCCTGGATCTTTCCATACAGAGCAATATAAGGAACACCAACGAAACAGCATCATCCACCTCTAGTCCCAAATACAGCTAAATTTGGAGAAAGCTGAGAGACCCCTATTTATCAAAAGACCGTCAGAAGTAACCATCTTGACAAATTTATGATAAGCCAAACTCACTGTGCCTCACTCACATCCCTATTTTCTTTTGTCATCGCCCAATATGTAAGCACCAAGTTCAATCTATTATGTGACCTTGGGCAAGTCACTTAAACTCGTGTGCCTGTCTTCTCATCTGCAAAATAAAGGCTCTACTTTATGAGGTGGTTATGAGGATTAAATGAGAGAATACAGGCAAAGCATTGTTAAATTATTAGTATTGTTATTATTAAATTACTATTGCTGTCGTTGTTATTCCTCTCTTCTAACCTCATTCCCATATTCCTCTGTGCTTCTTCTCCTGCCACCTGACCTCTCATTTCTACCTTAATTTCCAGGTGCTTCTGCTACGCCTCCCTGGAACACAATTCCATGATTAACAAACTCTCCTACCCATCCTCCAACTTATCCCTGAATGTCCAGTGATATTCCTGGCTTTCCCATGAGATTGGAGCTTCCCTTACAGCCCTTTCAAGTGAAAGTGATTTACACCAAGACACTGCATGTACTAGGGAGTCAGGAGGTGATGTGATGCCCTCTTCCAGCCACACCACAACTTCTAGACAATTCCTCCTTCACCCTCAGGTAAACAAAAAACAAAAAATACCCTGATTCTTCTTCCTCCAAGTTTCATACTATCTGGTTACACCTCGACTTCCTCTTTGCTGTCCTCTACTCATTCATTGAAGATCCTGGTTCACAGCCTTTCCTCTCCACCCTAGAGTCGTTAAGCACCGCAAGAGAAAAATCACAGTTAAATAAACAGGTACCACCCTGAATTCATAGTCACCAGCCTCAAATGGACCTTCAATATTCCTGGGGAAATCCTTTCATGTTTTCAGGTCACTCTCTCATTCTCCCCAGTGATTCTTTCAAAGCTTGCCCATTTTCCTCAAAACTCCAACACCTCAACAGCCCCTTCAATCTACCAAATAACTCACCTCTTAAAGATAAGATAGAAGTCTCCATATGGGAAACCAACTTCCTACTACCTACTACTACCAAACTAGGAATATATTCAGAGCCATCCTTCTACTGTTAAAATGAGAGAGAGCCCTCTTCCAAGCTAGGTCTAATTCCTCCATCTTCCAGATCCCTTTCATGTACAGGTCCTCAGTAACCTTACTCAAGCTGTCATTA